GAAAAAGATACACATTGGGGTATTGTTGTACTAAGACGACATAGCTTAGCAACATATTAGGTGTTATACTGCCGTAGCACACATAAGGATTGCAAAATATACAGTAACATCTCCAAGTGTGTGTCAAAAAGGCAGAAAAAATGCTAATTGCTACTAGACGGTACAAACTAGCAAAAAAAAAGATCCTACACTAAGGTTTAAAATGTACCTTTTGAAATACCCTGGGGTGTCTACTTTAAGAAATGGTAGGCCTTTGTGGGGTAGTTTGAATTAAAAACCTGCTAAGATGCTCGAAAAGTATGAATTGGGATCGAAATAAGCCCGGTGACCAGCCACCAACAGCTGTTTTGGCCTAATGTGGTATCGCCTTTTGGTTCAAAACTAGAAATCTCTTGCACATTATCAAGCCAGACATTAATTAAGTACTGAAGAGAAAAGAGTGACAAAAAGCTCTACACTGAGAGATTTACTTTAATCAGAAGAGAACATTCTGTCACACTTTTTCTCACCATTACTTAATTAGAATGAGACAGAAAAGCTTGAGACATAAAAAATGTATGCCATAAATAATAAAAAGAAAGAATAGTTAAAATAAAAAAGAATATATATATATATATATATATATATTTACATATATATATATATATACATATATATATATATATATATATATATATATATATATATTTGGTGGTGAGAATTAATTAAAATGTAAGCATTTAGGCAAGGTTACTCTTACCAATTTGTAAAACCAGATTGTTTTCCTAATACAATCACACCATCTGCATACTACTATAAATAATGGGAAAACCTACAGGCTTCCATGATGGATACAGTTAGTTGATGCCTTTTAAGATTCTTGCGGATTTTTGATGTTGAATTTGAACTGGTGTCATTCAGTATTCAGGTTTGAATCTGCCTTCTCTGATAATGCAGCATATACAGGTGATACTCGAAAAATTAGAATACCGTGCAAAAGTTCATTTATTTCAGTAATGCAACGTAAAAGGGGAAACTAATATATGAGATAGACGCATTACATGCAAAGCAAGATAGTTCAAGCCATGATTTGTCATAAGTGTGATGATTATGGCTTGCAGCTCATGAAAACCCCAGATTAACAATCTCAGTAAATTAGAATATTACATCCAATCAATAAAACAAGGAGTGTACATAGAACAATGTTGGACCTCTGAAAAGTATAAGCATGCATATGGACTCAGTACTTGGTTTGGGCCCCTTTTGCAGCAATTACTGCCTCAATGCGGCGTGGCATGGAAGCTATCAGCCTGTGGCACTGCTGAGGTGTTATGGAAGACCAGGATGCTTCAATAGCGGCCTTCAGCTCTTCTGCATTGTTTGGTCTCATGTCTCTCATCTTTCTCTTGGCAATGCCCCATAGATTCTCTATGGGGTTCAGGTCCAGCGAGTTTGCTGGCCAATCAAGCACAGTAATCCCATGTTCATTGAACCAGGCTTTGGTGCTTTTGGCAGTGTGTGCAGGTGCCAAGTCCTGCTGGAAAATGAAGTTAGCATCCCCATAAAGCTTGTCTGCGGAAGTTAGCATGAAGTGCTCCAAAATCTCCTGGTAGACGGCTGTGCTGACCCTGGACTTAATGAAGCATAGTGGACCAACACCAGCAGATGACATGGCTCCCCAAATCAACACAGACTGTGGAAACTTCACACTGGACTTCAAGCATCTTGCAGTGTGTGACGCTCCATTCTTCCTCCAGACTCTGGGTCCTTGGTTTCCAAATGAGATGCAAAAGTTGCTCTCATCACAAAAGAGGACGTTGGACCACTGAGCAATACACCAGGTCTGTTATTCTTTAGCCCAGGTAAGACGCTTCTGATATTGTTTGTTGTTCAGGAGCAGCTTGACAAGAGGAATACGACATCTGAAGCTGATGTCCAGGATCCGTCTGTGTGTGGTGGCTCTTGATGCACTGACTCCAGCCTCAGTCCACTCCTTGTGAAAGTCCCCAACACTTTTGAATGGCCTTTTCCTAACAATCCTCTCCAGGCTGCGGTCATCCCTGCTGCTTGTGCACCTTTTTCTTCCACACTTTTCCCTTCCACATAACTTTCTATTAATGTGCTTTGATATAGCACTTTGGAAAAAAAAATTCCTTCGCAATTACCTTTTGAGGCTCCCCCTCCTTATGGAGGGTGTCAATTATGGTTTTCTGCACAACTGTCAGATCAGCAGTCTTCCCCATGATTGTAATTCTTACTGAACCAGACTGAGAGACCATTTAAAGGCTCAGAAACCCTTTGCAGGTGTTATGGCTTACTTAGCTGATTAGAGTGGGACACTGTGAGCCTAGAATATTGCACCTTTTCACAATATTCTAATTTACTGAGATTGTGAATTTGGGGTTTTCATGAGCTGTAAGCCATAATCATCGCACTTATGACAAATCACGGCTTGAACTATCTTGCTTTGCATGTAATGCGTCTATCTCGTATATTAGTATCCCCTTTTACGTTGCATTACTGAAATAAATGAACTTTTGCACAATATTCTAATTTTTTGAGTATCACCTGTATATCTTGCAACCAATAATATATATGCTGCCTTTTGCCATTGTGCAATCCTATGCGATAT